AGAGAGAGAGAGAGAGAGAGAGAGAGAGAGAGAGAGAGAGAGAGAGAGAGAGAGAGAGAGAGAGAGATTTCCACGCAATCATAGTTCACTGAGCTCAATAACGGGGATAAATGCTCAGCACTTCCCAATTGTTTCCAAATTAATTCATGCGTCTTCTGTTGCACTAGGAGACAGTTCTATTTTATTTAGATTGTATTACGGCTTTTTTATTGGCCACATGCAAAAATCCAGTCAAATGCCAAAACCTAAATAACCCGACGACGTGTCTCGGCTTCCCGAAGATTCTTGATCATGTCCTGAGACGGCACACAGTGCCGCGCACAATTTAGTTCAAACATAAAACAAAGATTAAATCACAATATATTTCTATTCTCTCAAGATACTCTCAAAATAACATGTTGCAGCACGTATCTGGCCGAGTTAGCCAACAGCTGCCTCAACTCCTCCGTATCAATGACATCTCGTCTTTCATGAACTACCAACCCCACGGCTCGCCTAGGAGGGATCGAGCTCAGGGCCACCAAACCTTGATTGGCAGCTAGATATTTATTCGTTGACAGCGGCGGAGATCAGGAGTAGGATCTCAGAATTTACAGATGGAGTGGAGAGATGACAATTCCCTTTCAGAATTTATTTCTTGAGAAGCATGGTCTTATCCTCTCTTGAAAGTAATAATGGTTTGCCAGCAGTCTCCCATCTCAGTATAGATCTCAATGGTTTCCGCTTTCTTGAGGATCATCCTGCAAATTCGTCTTAAACTTGTTCTATTTGCTATTCAATTCATTACAGATTTTTTTTTGTCCTCTTCGGTTCTTGAATGAAAACAATCATTCACTGTCAATCTCTTTTATGATAACGGATATCCGATCTATATGTTAATGAAAATTTCGACTCTTCTATCGGGAGCTCCTAACAAGGAATTAACATCAGAAAACCACTCGTAACAACATGTTTTATCTGTCGTCGATCCGGTTATGTGACAATTATGCCAGCCTGTACTATGATCGACATAATGGGTAGTGTAAATTAAGCATATATGGATTCTATTGCTAGCGAAAAAAATTACGATACCGGGCACAATACGCGAGAAATTCATGATTGATTTTTGAAAGGATCTGCAAAATGTGGCATGTATTACGAGTTTAAAATATTGAGAACGTTGCTTTTACAGCTGAGCAATGTCGACAAGGTAGATGACGATGGAACAGTCAAGGCGGGCTACACTCAACAGGTTGCTGCTCTCGTTACTTCCAATTTGAAGTCATGAATCTTCACGAAGTCATGAATTTTCACGGTGTTGCACGACCAAAACTTAAGTCTCCCGACCGTAGTCAGTCATACGTCAATACTTATAACCATTTTCCATATCTCCTCATAATCTGAAGCGAAAGTGTATCATAAGGCTTGTAAATTACTGTAAAAACATACATTTTTTTTAAAGATATATTCTCTTTTCTACGGCCAGTGCAATTTTATAAGCATTTCTCGTCTTATAGCTTGAAGCCTCTCCTAATATCCTCTTCTGTTTTTGCGCTACCATGGAGCGAACTTTGTTTAGCTTCACCCATGTGGCTTGTACTGGGGAAAACCATGCGAAACTTCAGTCATGCCGCTGGCTTGTAATGCAAGGGTTCTGCTGTGTTTATCAGCCACAATGACTCGATGAACACGATAGCTTTCTACTATCGTGCCTGACCCCGAGAGTCTCCACTCAGGTGTAACTGAGCGGAAACCCATCCAAGTACTTACCAGACGAAACGTTGCTTAGCACGGATGTCGGCCGGAGTCACACAGCCCCTTGTGGGGACTACGGCCACTACAAAAAAATATGTATATCAGTGTTATGCCCAAGATTTTGGTATTGGGTTATTGTTAAATATTTGAACATCCAGCATTGTCAGCGTGACACTTGCCAGCATAACTGGATTATGCTGACCAAGTAATGACACACAAACAATTATGTATTTCAGAGGCCGTTTGGGTATGCAGAAGGCGGATCCAAGTTGGGCTCCGACATGTGTTAGTCGTAATCTTTATAATCAGTCAGATGGCATAACTAAAGTAATAAACTGTCATATTTTAATACCTATAAACTATTGGTGGGATTTATCCCTTCGAGCCTAGAACCTATAATAAAAATAAGTGCCCCCCACGCCCGGTACAACATCGGAAATGATTTATTCAAATAGGTTTGTTTTTTTTTTAGTACGGTTAATCATTTGAAAACATGAACATCCTTAGCGAAAGTTCAGAGAAATAGGCTGGGTGAGAAATCAGAGCGTTCAGCCGTTTTCCGAAACTAGGCCTGAAAATAATTATTGAAGAAGAATGTAAGAGACGAAAGTTATTTCTTTATAACTCTTTATCAGCTATATCGTGTGATTCATGTAACGAATATATTCAGAAGAATGGAGACAAAAGAATACGAAAAGATAGATTTCTATCGCCAATAACATGTCATGAACAATAACCTGAAATCCTAAATTGAAAAGTTCTAATTGTCCGGTAAATATTTAACTATTATCAATATCAAATTGCTGAGTTTTTTCTGTAAAAAGCGAAGAAAATGTCATCTTTAATTGTTGGTCACGATTTACATATGATGATGCTTGAAGTCTTAGTGGAGAAGGTACGCCAATAATGAAACGATTAAATAACTTAAAGTAATTAAATAAAATCGAGTCATCCCTTATCTATGTTAGTTTAATCCTCAACCTCTGCCATGACATTTTTAATTATTCATTGGCATGCACTCAATCTTATAATTTTTATTCCATAAATTAATCAGCTGTTGGCCCCAGATTCTCACCTATTTGATACCGTCACCCTTCGTAAGACTACTATTATGTTCCGTATGCTGGATAATCATTGGATAGAATTGCAGCCGCCGCAACAAAACGATCATCAATATAATGGTTCCAACAGCGAAATAGAAAATTTCCATGGTGGTAAATCCGTTGTATTCGCATTTTCTGAGAGTTGTCTCAAGCATGGAACATCAAAAGCCCACATAAAGATCCGTGTATTTAAGGAAATCTCTAAATACTTCGAGGTGGAACCGTGCTACGATGCAGGAGTGACATATATTGATATTCATTCACTTTTCAATGGAATCGTTAAAGAATTAAGGGAAAGGAAATATATGCGGAATTATTTCACTTATTTCCACGAACGAGAACCCATTTCTAAGTAAGAAAACCTAACACTACGTTCTAACTTTTGAAATTGTTCAGATTTCGTTATAGATTATTAGGTCACTACTCATTATTGTCGATTAATGAAAAAATATTGCGGTCAATGCATACTGTATTGAAATGGATATTCCAGTAAGGACCATCAGGAAAAATAAGAACTGATTATTAACTTAAGTCATGAATTCTTCATTTAATAAAGCAGATATAGTCTTCATTACTGACCAATTTTAAACTGAAGAGAATAACCCGTTGCGGAAATATTATGAGTCGCAGAACCTTATCAAAATATTGTTTGTTAGCAATCTCAATCGTTATCGAAATTGAGTTTATCATATATCATATAATGATCTCTGTTTTTTCTTTTTTGCTTTATATTCAGTGCATAGATACTCCAATTCATATATTAAATGTATATCATTTGCATGCATAGATACGCCTAGAAACATCTACACACATACTACGCATAACCAATCAGAAATAACGAGGTCCAACTTCCTAAATTACGGAAACTACACACATCTTTTGTAGTATTGAATTTCTGAATTAGGTTTCGTTAGATATAGTGTATGCAAATGACACTATCAGTTCTTCGAAAAAATTTATCCATTATTCAATTATGGCCGACGAAAAAATGTTGTCATCTGAAGTTAACTTTTGATGACGATTTGTTTTTTAGTCTTTGAGAAAGACAATTGTCTCAATATATCTCAATTGCTCTGAAATAGTCATAAAAAATGGATAAAATTGCCTGGAATCAAACATGAAACCGTAAGCCGTAACAATTTTGTTGACACAATTTTTCAGGGAAGGGACTTTTTTCCGAATTCTTCGAAGTTCAATCGAAATTTCGAATTATGTTAAACTCATCATTTTAAGATCGGCATATTAGTATATAACGCAGTCACCTTGGTCCAGTGTGAAAATTCAAAAAGTAATGAAAATACCAAATTTTACGGTGTAATAATAACCCATAAACAGAAACGATCTCCATTGCTTGGATCAAAAATTGGATGCAATGGCATTCACCATTGATCTCATACACTATTTTAAAGCACATGGAATCGAAATTTTCTGTGAATATTCTTCTCCAGTCCCGTCTGACCTAATGAAAAATCTAACTGCAAGTGAGCTTTCAAATTAACCCAAAAAAATGTAATTTTTCCCTAAAGATAACTGTGATATCATGAGAAAAACTTCTTAGAATTGAATAAATTAAGTGTCAATTGAAAGCTCATGTAATAACCACTCGAATGAGTGGTTATTATAGGGAAAAATTCCTTGAGCATTAAAAACGCAACAAAACAACTAATGTGAGGGACACGGATCGATATAGTCGATATATCAATTATAGTGAAAAATAGAAAAAAGTGATGGTTACCATGAGTAACCATGATCCTTTTCTCTATTTTTTCCTGTATATCATTCAATTTTAACCAACGGAAATTGGTAATTGGCAATTGGCTTTCGAATGGATCCCTCAGAATTCCACTTGACAAGAAAATTAGCAGTTGTCAACTTTCATCGATCTAGTAAGAACAATTCAATTGCTACCGAGAAATGGTGGATATTTTCGGAATTATTTGAAATATTTCCTATACGTTTGAACCGTAAAAAAAAATAATTCATTGTAAAGATATCAATTAACGTATACATGAAACTTATCATAATTTTCTAGCGACGTATTAAATACTTCGAGCATGTCTATCATTTTACTGATTTTAATATTTCTAGATTAATGTCATAACAGCCATACGTTTGTTGTATTGTTTCACTGATTTCGCCACATGACAGCATATTTTGTTCCTGTGACAGGTACTGGCATTTACCAGGTATTTATAAATATCTATTTAACCTATTATTAACAAGAACTTTAACACAAAAAAGGATGTTTCAACTACCGCTCGACCGATTGCGCCCATCTGATGTATGATCTTCATATTATGAAGGCCATGATAATACCAACTTTAAACATGAATACTGAAAATATTTAAAAACGGACAAGTGGCAAAATTTCGTGACTTTTATAGTAATGGGTATACATATTTGGATTGTATAATATGATGTCCCTAAGACGAGTATTCTGACGAAAACGAATTGAAAGCCGTTGGGTGGTTCCCGAGATATTAAAAAAAATACGGTCACAAAAGAGGTTCCAGATATAGAATACCTTCTGTATTAATCTATTTCTAGGTTATGAGCGTTCGCAAAGTTTTTGATGATCACGCCGAAAAATGGCGATTTTACGAAAGTCCTTCGAAACAAATGTAGATATTTTGATTAATATAAAGCAAGGCTCGGGATAATCCTCTCATCCTAATGGGTACCGAATTAGCCAACCATTGTCTGCGAATAAGTCCCAGTAGTGACGATATTCCCGCCAGCAACGTAGAGTGGCTTGCGAGGCGATAAAAATGGCTGACCCGCCAGAATTGGTGCTAAATTTCCGTTTTAAATGTTAAATATAAAATTGAAAAAGTGAAGTTTCAATAGGAAAACCTTGGAGAATATTGCAACTCTAAATTTAAAAAATTACAAGTTGCCTCTGCCGACTTAGGAATATATTTCTGGAAACTCCATTGCGGATTTTCAAATTGAATTATGAATTTTGCTAATTTTGCAACGTCGAAATGAAAAATGAATTTTTTTTTCATGACATGAGAGAATAAATTTTCAGATTATTTCTCTGGTGAATCATACCTTCTGATTTTTTATTTCAATAGAAGAATAGTATTTGGGACTAGACGGAAACCGCCTGTTCCATTGACAATAGTCATTCCTCGAAAATTTCGAGCATACTTGTCATTTATTTGGGGCAATCCCAGTTCTATCCTTCGCTATCTATTACTGATGAAAACGGCACATTAATAAGTTTTTATTGATTTTCGCCATAAATTGAAATAGCGCGAATATTGTGCACCCCTCTAAAGTATAAATGAATAAATATAAATATAAATAAATAAATATAAAATATAAAAAAAGGTATTTACTTTATGCATAAGATTGCCTCGCCGATAAGGTGATTACGCGGAGGGCAAACCCCGTTACCCCTTCTAGTAGCACTTATTTTAATGAAAGGTATTTACCTCTAAAATCCGTTCGACTGTTACATTCCATTCCCGTATATCAAAAGCTAAAACTGTTACATTTTGTATTTTTATTTGAAAAATGCAGAAGTATATTTCAGATATTCTAATAGTTAAATAAAATAGAAAATGAATAATTCAATTTTGTTGATGACAATCAAGCAGCCGCTTCTCCCAAGGGCTGCTATAAGTCATACCCAGGCCTAACTTGGTTTGTAGAAATTTCGATATGTCAAATAGAAATTTTTCTGCGTTCTTATCCGAGTTTCATTTTCTCAAAAAATCCGATTTATCTCCGAATTATTTTCTTCACATAACTTTCACATGAACTTTTAGAAATTTCGTTTATCCTCAATATTTCAAAAACACTGAACGGATTTCAGTGAGCCATCTTTATATTATATCGAGATATTGAGGAAAAACGAAATTTCTAAATGTTGCTATATCTCAGGAACCATAGCGATAGTAAGTTGAAAATTTTCACATATTTCGCCACAATTCCATTGCAACTTGTATAAAATGTTGCGAAACGTAGAAAAATAATGTTCTGAAATGATGTTTGTGTCTGTATGAACAGAAAAATTCTAAATTATGCAAATTAACATTTTTTAATAATCTTACCTTATCGCACCAGTTCAGCTCGATCAGTCCTGTAGTTCCTGAGGTACAGCACCTTTTCACGATTTCCTTTTTCCTTAATATCGGAAATACTGTTGGATGGATTTTAATTCTGTTTATTTAAAATACTTATCTCAGTGTACCCTATACATGCCAATCAAAATATCTACAATTGTCGGGATAAAATTTCGATATCATCGTTCTTCGGTTTTATTATCAAAAATTTTGTCAACACGATCCATTAACAAAGAATAGAAATCGCAACGTGAAATTTATTGAGTCGTCAGTAAGTATTTTTTATGTGAAGTTAACCTGCAAATATTGAAGTTAATGAAATGATAAAATACTCTAAGCATTTGATATATAGCTAGAAAATCACCATAAGCTTCATATATATGTTGATCACCATCCTTGCAATGAATGATCATTTTTTTTATATAGGTGCATGAAAAAATCCAATTTTTTTCACTAACTTTCGTGTGTAAAGTAGGCCTTTTCGGATGTATTTTAGAAGCGGTAAAAATAGTGAATATTTTTTAACTTGTTATGAAAACCGGCGCCATCGTCGTCTAACTCAGTCGTGAGGATTCTGATCAATCAGGACTCGTATTTTTTCACGTGACTATTCAGGCTAAAAACATCGGTCTACTACAGGGCCCGGCAACCTGGGCTCATCGGCCTCGTGCGGCTCCCGAGGTTCGTTAGTGAGAGTTGGAAGAGGGGCCTCATCCACTTAACAAAACTACGTTCTCTAATTCGATTTTTCCCTCTTCTTGAGCCCTGGTTCGACCGATACCGGCGGAGGGCGATCGTGTCATCGGAATTTTCAATTTTCCATAAATTTCAAGTATAAATATCAATTTTTCGCTCTAAATAGGCAGCAATATCAGGCAAAAGATTTTTTTTAATGCTTTCAAGAAGAGTCACCATTGAAAATTATTTCGTGTCCAGACTTTATTCGCAGCAATTCCATAAATAAAATAGAAAATTTGTCCAAAATTCTGAGGTGGAACCATAATTTTACCAAATAAAGCAAAGAATCCGTGAATAAGTAGTTGTTGTTGGGATAATAAATATAACTCTGATCAGAATTCTAAGGACTGACAATGAGAACAGGGCTGGGAAAACCTTCGAAGTTACGAACGAGACCAATCGGTCTGAAATCTAACACACATCAAGTCCATATTAAGTGTCACCTATGAACCGACCAAATTTCAGATTTTCGGCAATTAATTTAGCTAGCTATTCTTCTTTGTTTGTAAAAATTGACCCTCAATTGACCATCTGCATATAC